CCCGGCCCCGGCGCCGCCCGCTCAGCCGCGGGAGCGAAGACAGAGAGAGCGGCCGCCCGACCCGCCCGGCGCCCCGGGCCTTAGACCCCACTCACCCTCCGGACCCCGAGCCGCCACCACTGGCCGGAAGTGCCATCCGCTCTGCCCTCCGCCCGTCCGCTCCTCTCCGCTTTCCCCCACGCCACTTCCGGGGACACTCTAAGCACGCTGGAGGACTCGTCCTCTCGGTGGCGTCTGGAAAGGTGAGCCCTTGGAAGAGGCGAAGGAGCCCTGGTGGCGCCGTGGTTAAAGCGCTCGGCTGCTAGCCGAAAGGTGACGGTTGGAACACACCAGCTGCTCCGCGGGAGAAGAATGTGTCAGTCTGCTTCTGTAAAGATTAAACCCCACATAGCGACCCAACGGAACAGAGCAAAACTGCCCCATAGGGTTTCCAAGAGCGGCTGGTGGATTCGAACTGCCGAGCCTTTTTTGGTTTGCAGCCATAGCTCTTAACCACTAGGCCACCAGGGCTCCCCGCAAACATTACAGCCTTGGGAACCCTATGGGCAGTTCTACTCTGTCCTATAGGGTCGGTATGAGTCTAATCCTGCCTCATTAACATCATAGAGGTAGAATTTACAACACAAGAAAATCACATCAGATGACAAAATGGTGGACAATCACACACACTGGGAATCATGGCCTAGCCAAGTTGACACACATTTTTGGGGGACACAATTCAATCCATGACAGTGAGGTTGGCATGGAGCGGGCTGACCCCCAGGATGCATGGGGCTCCCAGCACCCCTCTGTGACCCTCGGGCTCAACTCAAGGACTGAATCCACTCTGCACCGGTGGCAGAGGGAGGAGTCGGAAGGAAGAGAAAAGGAGGAAGAAATACACTGGTGTCTCCTGGGGCTGCACTGAGGGTGCTGCCCGCAACCACCCCCATCCACAGCATCAAGCCCCCAGCCCACGCCTGGACCACCTGGTAGCCTCCGTCCTCACTGGCCTCCCACCCCCATCTTCAGCCAGCGTGGCTGAATTAGGCTGGGTTCTCTAGTGGAGCAAAACCAGTGAAGTGTCTATACATGTATACAGGGAGAGATATTTACATCAAGGAAATGGCTCACGAGGTTATAGAGGCTGGAAAGTCCCAAGTCCATGGGTTGGGCTGGAGGCTTCTCCTGATTCATGTAGCTGCAGGAGCTGCTGAACCCAAGATTGGCAGGTAAGCTGCTAGCTCAAGTCCCAAGAACCAGCGGTCAGATGAACAGGAGCCGGCTGCAGGATCCAGAGTGAGTAAAAGCCCATGAGCCTTGCCAGAAAGTTCACCTATATTGGATGCAGACCACACCCCCAAGAAAACTCCCTTTCAATTGATTGGCTATTCACAGCAGATCCTATCATGCAGGTGATCGCATTATATCAGATCTCATCACGGAGGTGATTACATCATGATAGGACTGCCAGACTATATCATAACTGCCAAACCCCTGAGAATCATGGCCCAGCAAAGTGGACACACAACTTTAAACATCACGGTCCACCCATTGTTAACTTGGCACCTGTACACATCTCCTTAAACCACACATAATCTCTGAATAAAGACAATGAGAAAGTCATACTTGCACCTAACATGATGCAATTAACATGCGTACAACCGAAAACACACGAGGCCTGTTTACATCTTATATTTTATGAATGAAGAAAATAAAAATATTTGATGTACACATATAAGGAAGAAATACTCACAACAATTACAGTCTTCATTTCTGCAACTGCTCACGTGGTCGTAACTGGTACTTAGAACTATCTTCTTCCACCACCCATTCTGTATTCCGTTTGCCCTCAGCAAGCACCTCAGTTGGTCGTGGTTCTTTGCCTGGTGGGGTGACCCAAATCTTCATTCCTGAAGAGTCTAGTCCATGAGTAGTCACGTCAGAGTTGGGCTGCTGTAGTTTTCCATTGACTTTAATCACAGGGCAGGGTAGTACTAAGAGATGCCCTGGGGGATCTCCTGCATTCCAGACATGCTCTTCCTTACTTTCATTATGTAATATCAATCCAAATCCAGGTGGCGTTCTTAACTTCCAGTTCAGTGAAATCAAGGACATGTCTCCAGGTGGGAGCATTCCTCCCTTTGGGACTAAGACCTGCTAGACCCACAGAGCATAGGGTTGTGGGGACAGGAAGCAAAAATTTTGCTAGTGGGTCACCAGGGGTTATAGTGAGTGATGCACTCCCATTTCCACCCTTGATTCCTGGACCCATGAATCCTGGCTATGGGAGAAACAGCACCATATATTGGACACTGGTTTAGAGCATATACAGCCTCCTGGAGAACATCACCCCAACCCTACAAGGTATTGCCATCTAACTGGCACCATAATTATGTCTTTAGAAAGCCATTCCATTGTTTTATCAAGCCAGCTGCTTCAGGATGATGGGGAACACAGTAAAACCAGTGAATTCCATGAGCATGGGCCCACTGCCACACTTCATTTGCTGTGAAGTGAGTCCCTTGCTGCAAGGCAATGCTGTATGGGATACCATGATGGTGAATAAGGCATTCTGTAAGTCCACGGATGGTAGTTTTGGCAAAAACATTGTGTGCAGGGAAGGCAAATCCATATCCAGAGTAAGTGTCTGTTCCAGTAAGAACAAAATGCTTTCCTCTCCATGATGGAAGTGGTCCAGTGTAATCAGCCTGCCACCAGGTTCCTGGCTGATCATTTTGAGTGATGGTGCTGTATTGGGGGCTCACTGTTGGTCTCTG